TACTCCCAAGACTGTTCGTCCGATCAAAAAAGAGCCCAAGCCTCATAAACGCACACTGACCTCCAAACAGCAAGTCATTAAACATGAATCCGCCGTGAAACCTGGTAAATTAACAACAGTTCGTGACGACTCTCTCATTATCATGAACGTCGCTGATAATCCTGACCTTCCTCTCAGTCTGCAGGACAAAAACGACAGGATGCTCTGGGGTGAATTGAACAAGAAGCTCGAACTTCCTAGAATAGAGACTTTGATGGTCACCCGGCTCTCTAGAGGAAAGGACTCTAAGCATCTAAATCACCCAAGACTTCTCCGAGTAACACTTAAGAATGCTACCGATGTAGAGGACGTCTTACTAGCAAGTCGCTTGCTGAAATCAGATGGTAACGTAAGAATATTGCCCGATATACCGTTCTCTGAGCGCAATATCATACGAAACATCCCTAAAGAATCTCGTGAGAAATTTTTCCGCGGAAGAAACATAATTGTGCAAGGTATACCGGAAAATGCAGACCCTACTCAATCAAATTCTGACATCAGGGAATGGAAATTCATCAAACAGTCCATGAGGCTCAAACACATACTGACTCAGCATGTGATGAGATTAGCCAAGAAGGACGGTGATCTTAGACCCCGTCTAATGAAGATAATCTTCCCATCTTCCCACATGGCGGCTGCAGTTCTGGAAGCATTTCGTGCCATCAGACGTCGATTGCCACCTGGAATCCACATGCACCCGGACAGGCCATATGAAGCCAGGACCAAGCACAAAGGCAAGTTGGAGCTAACCACTCCACTTGTGGATTGTCTAAACGATAAAAAAAACGTGTAAAGGACAGGGCCTACCACCTCGGTAAACCTCACATGGGTGGGCTACCTGTCCATTCACATAAGGCTCATACAGAAAAACAGGACGAAGCTCACGCGTTCCAAATTGAAAGTATAAACTGCTTATATATGAACGCCTCGAGTCTACCAAACAAACTGGATGAATAACGTGAACTTTTCAACGCTAATAAAGCCCATCTGATAGGAATATCTGAAACCTGGATATCTTCTCAGTTCTCGGAGCATGAGTTAGCATTACCAGGGATGACTCTGTTCCGCAACGACAGAACAACAGGAATTGGGGGCGGAGTAGCCATATACATAAGCTCTTGCTTGGAGGTGAACCGAGTTCACAACCTCAAGTTTAACAATCTTGAGGAATCCATATGGTGCTCTGTAAGATTGTCTAGCACTTCGAGGTGTCTAGTCGGTGTCATTTACAGGAAGCCAACTGCTGACATCGAGTACGATAGTCGTATGCTGGAAGGACTATCCCGCTCTACCCGTCTCGGTTTCACACATATCCTGATTCTAGGGGACTTTTATCTTCCTAGAGTCAACTTCGTGGAACACACGTATACTGGAGGTGACAACTCAATTGAAGCTCGGTTCTTCAACCTCATCGATGACTTGGGCTTATATGAAAAAGGGAGGTCGGCAACTCGTTGGAGAAACAGTCAGACACCATTGCGGTTAGACTGTGTATTCACAAACGAAGAATTTCTAGTTGACAACCTCTCAATCCTGGCTCCTCTGGGAAAGAGCGATCATGCCGTCATAGCCTTCAGTTTTGTCACCAAAACTAAGCTTAGGTATCCCAACAATAATTTCCGTTTGAATTTTAAACGGCTGAATGTGCCAGCTCTACACGACTATTTACAACAGGTGGTTTGGGATGTTCACCCCCAACTCGATGTGGACGGTCACTGGAACTTCTTACTGCACATGCTCTTATGTGCTACAAACCATTCAGTTCCTCAAACGGTTCCAAGAAGCTGTAAGCCACCTACAATAATCAAGAACCGTACCCTTCGCCTGCTAAGCCGTAAAAGGCACTGTTGGGCGGAATACAAACGAACTGACAACGACGGAACGTATAGGCAATTCAAACATATCAGTAACATATGCACGAAGGCTATAAGAGAAGACAGGCTTCATTATCAGACAAAGCTTATGGGCAAATTTGCCGCGAATCCTAGAAGCCTATTCCGTTATGCAGCCTCTCTTCGTCAAGCCAAAACAAGAGTTTCTCAACTGCTAGGTTTTAACGGCCCAACCAAAAACGATGGTGACGCCACTAACCTTCTGGCGGCACATTACTCTCAAACATTTCAGCCGGCTGACATCAACTCTATTGACGACAGTTTCACCTGTGATTCCACAGGGCTTTCCGAAGTGGACCTAAGCGCTGACGTGGTGTTCCGGAAACTGTAGCACATAAGACTAGATACTTCTCCTGGCCCGGATATGGTTCATTCCGCCATACTGAGGGAGGCAGCCTCAATCCTGGCAACGCCGCTTAGCGTGATGTTTTCACACTCGCTAAGCCAAGGCAAACTACCGGAAAATTGGAAGTTGGCTCACATCACACTAATTTTCAAAGGGGGTCGACGCAATGAACCTTCAAGTTATCGGCCGGGGGCTCTTCTGTCATTACCTTCACAACTCATGGAGTCCCTGATATGCGATGGTTTAAACGATTATCTACTGTCCTTAAACTTCTCACCCCAACAGCATGGTTTCAGGAAGGGTTACTCTTGTATAACCAACCTGCTGACTGCGGTGGACAGATGAACAAGCATCCTCGATCGCAAGAGAAAGGTTGATATCATATACCTTGATTTCTCAAAAGCTTTTGATAAAGTTAACCACTTGTGTCTTATCAATAAGCTCAAACGACTAGGTATCAAACCACCTCTAATCGATTGGCTTACTTCATACCTAGAAAATCGACACTTTAAGGTTAGGGTTAATTTCACTTTATCTCAGGCTATAGAATGTCCTAGTGGGGTTCCCCAGGGCTCAGTATTAGGGCCTCTCCTCTTCTTGATCTACATAAACGATCTTCCTCAACAGGTAACGTCAGACTTATTACTTTTTGCCGATGACGTGAAACTTTGGAGACAGATACGCAACCAAGACGATACACAGGCACTTCAGGAGGATCTGACTCGACTTCAAAGTTGGGCAGATGATAACGGACTTACCTTTAACACTTCAAAGTGTACAGTAGTCCATCTGCGACATGTCGCAGACTACAGTTATAACTTGGGTAATTCCTCTCTAGTAGTATCCCAAGTCGAAAAAGATTTAGGAGTCCTGGTGCCCCATGATTTAAAGTCTTACGCTAATTGTGACAAAAATGCCCTCCGAGCAAACATTGCACTGGTAACATTGAAGCGCATTTTTGGCCAGTTTGACGGAAGATCTTTCCATACAATCTTCAATAGTTTTATCCGTCCCCATTTAGGGTACGGAAATATAGTACTCCCCCCTCACTCCAAAAGGACAAGGTCACTTTGGAGCGTATCCAACGGCGAGCCACGAAATCAGTTCGCGGACACAAATCTAAGCCTTACGAAGAACGCCTTCATTCACTAGACCTTTACCCATTAGAGTAAAGGCGTCTTAGAGGGGATTTATTAATGGCTTATAGTATTCTTAACACTTCTGGACATCCTCTTAAACACCTACTCAAGCTTAGTTCGAATAATAACCTAAGGGGTAACACCCAGAAACTGGAAACTCAACATAGCAAGACGGGATGTAGACACAACTTCTACTCCTTAAGAGTTGTCAAAAGCTGGAATTCGCTGCCGGCCGAGCTAGTCCAAGCGACTTCTCAGGAGTCCTTCAAGAGGCAACTTGACCTATTCTTAAGGACCAAGGACGGTATCATACTATGATTTACCAATTTCTTTTCCTCTTTTATTGTTAACATACCTAGGTTCCTGCCTGGAGGATTTGGTGATCCCCTGCTACTAGACACGGAAGCCTGTTAAGCGAAAGCTTCTTCTATTCCGTCCACAACCATTTGAACCATTTGATTTCATCCGGGCTGCAATCTGTCGAGGCTTGGCAGAGATGACGAAAAAGCATCGTTTCTCACGCCGATTTCTTCTCACTGTGATGGAACTTTCTAATCTAACAACACATAACCGACTAGTATTATGGATCCAGTCGATTGGTGCTGCATCATCACCAGACGAAGGTGCCACAGTTTCACTACGTCATCAATCGATTTGCCATCCTTACCTAGTATCCGTTCCTTAACAATTGAATTACGTACTCGGTGTTCTTAGGATATACGAGCAATATTTCGAAGACACCTATGATCAAATACTAGTAGCCTACGAATATCCTCTACTCTTACCGGCCATGTTTCACTGACATAAAGTAAGACGAAACGAACTGCTGCACAGTAAACCTGTCGAGCCTTCTGTGTCCGTGCTGAGATTTCGTCACACACCAGACTTTCAAGATAAGTGAAGAGGTCGACACGCCCAACTACTTCACTCCCTATCATTAGTTCGGGTGTCGATGCAACGCAATCCTGAAGCAAGACTTTACATTTCGAGGGAGAGAATCGTATGTCTAACATGCTTGCATTGTTGCTTGGAGTGGTCAGAAAACTCTGCATTTTGTCAGCGTCTTCACCACATGGAACTATGTCATCGGCACATTCTAGGTCAATAAGTGAATCTCCCGGTAGAAGTTCAACCTCTGGAAATCTAGACGAGGAAAGTGTTATCTCTAAAAGCACGTCAAAGACAAAGTTAAACAAGAGTGGAGTGAGCGTGTATAGATATGCCTGAGAAGCTTATTTTGTGAATAGTTTTTAATGTTATTTGTACTTATTTTGCCAATTTTCCACTGTATTTACATTTGTCGTGAAATGACTGTACGTGTTATTTAAGTGAATGACCTTGAACAAACTTTCCGCTGTGTAATTTACGTAGCATGACATACCGTGGATTGCTAACAAATACATTGCTGCACACATATCCCTTGTTCTACATTCATTTATGATTGAGTTAACTGCAGCCCAAATCGAATATTATCATCATTTATAGACTGTGATTGGGAATGTATCATACCTTTCATTGGAGAGTTCATCAACTTGATTGGAATTATCAAACATTTATAATTGTGGATTTTCAACACCAGACCAAATGCGGACACGCATCAATTTGGTGAATATAAGTAAAGTCCCTATTTTCTATTGTATTTGTAACAATTAACTTATATACATTAACAGCACTATTGATCTTAGTTTCAGTTTTTCAGTTTCAGTTTGGGAAGGACAGGAGGCTCTATGGCCTATGTTAGTCCTGGCAATGGTGGTCTCTCAGTTGATCCAACTTTCTTTTGAAAGAGTCGACGGATGGAGCCTCAACCACGTGCTGAGGTAGTGAATTCCACTCGTTGATTATTCGATGGGAAAGTCGATAGTCAGCTGACAAGTAATTTGTTCTCGGCTTGTGAACTTTTTTGGAGTGTCCTCGTAAATTCTCTGTTTTGGAAGACAAGAAAAATGAGGGCATGTTAGGTGCAAATTTATCACTAAGCAATTTGTAGACTGTAATCAAGTCACCTCTAGTTCTGCGATAAGATAACGGGAAAAGGTTCAGCTTGGCCAGTCGAGATTCATACGGAAGCTTTGCTATTCCGGGAACCAGCTTAGTCGCCGTTCTCTGAACCTTTTCCAGAAGCTCACTGTCTTTTTTTAAGCAGGGGCTAGCCGCTTGTATGCAGTACTCAAGTTTAGGACGAACGAACACTGTATACAAAGTCAAAAACGTCTTAGCGTCGACATGACTAAAAGCCCTACGTATTGACCATAACGATCTAAAACTTTTGGCGACTATTGCACGGCAGTGTGCAGTAGTCTTTAAGTCTTGACTAACGATAACGCCTAAGTCATTATATGTCTGGACGACAGGTAGCTCAGTGTTATCCATCATGTATGTATTTGTGCCTTGATGACCGATATGCATCACAACACACTTGAAAGTATTTATCGGCAACTGCCATGTTTGAGACCATTCAGATAACTTCTTCAGGTCATTTTGAAGTTCTAAGCTATCACTCTTACATCGTATCGCTTTCCATATCTTGACATCGTCAGCATATAGCAAGACCGATGATGATAGGAGACAAGGAAGGTCATTTACATACAAGAGGAATAGCACTGGCCCCAAAACTGTACCCTGGGGCACTCCACTAAGCACAGTTTCCCAGCTAGATAACTTTGAGTTCACCCGAACTCTTTGTTGACGCCCAACTAAGAAGTCTTTTATCCACATCAATAAATTGCCTCCAATCCCGACTTTTCTTAACTTATATAACATCCGGTTGTGCGGAACTTTATCAAAAGCTTTACTGAAATCAATGAAGGCGACGTCTACAGGTAGCTTTTGGTCCTTAAGAGCGCACCAGCTTTCACGAGCCACTAATAAGTTAGTGAGACAAGAATAACCTATTCTGAAGCCGTGCTGCTTCTCCGAGAGGATTCGGTTTTTATCGAGATACTTAAACAGCTCTTCCCTAATAATCTTTTCTAATATTTTAACAACCACACTAGTTAGGCTAACGGGGCGGTAGTTTTCAGGTTTGTGTTTCGTACCTGTTTTGAAGACAGGACTTACTATGGCGTTTTCCAATCTTTCGGTAAGCGACCCTGCGTAACGGATAGGTTAAAGCATGTACTTAAAGGGCTTGCAACGAAGTTAGATAATTCCTTTAGTAGCCTAGGATGTAATTCATCGGGCCCCGTGGATTTACCTATATCAAGCTTATTTAGCAGACCAAAGACATCGAGTTCTTTAATGGTCACGCTATCCAGTTTATGTGTGGGGGGATCTGTATACGCTGACAAGAAGGGCGCTTCTATGGTATACACGTTGCTAAAGTAGTTCGAGAACGCTTCAGCCTTACCAAAGTCGTCCTCCACTAATGATGAAGCAGTACTGTCTCCCAATAGAGCAGGAATATTTCCTTTTCTCCTTGTCCTTTGGTTTATATAGGAATACAAGCGTTTAGGACATTCTATGGATTCCTTTACAAGTTTTTCGTCGTACAATTTTCTAGACTTACGGAGGGTCGAGGCACAAGTGTTCCGAGCCTTTCGATACTGAGATTTTGCCTCATCAGTCCCCAGTAACCTAAATCTATCCCACATCTTCCTTTTCTTACGGAGAAGAATACGGACCTCCCTACTGAACCATGGTGGAGAGTTTTTCGGTCCCTTTGGTATAGTCCAAGGGATGTGAGGTGTGGTAACTTTTAAGTATGAATTTCGAAATGCGTCCCAGGCCGTTTCAATGGAGGACTCTGGGTCTATTGTCCAATCTATTAACGATGCTGAGTGCATGATGGCTGGTATGTTTGCTTTCCAGACGTTGGGTCTGGACTGGACTGATGCGTCCTCATGACTGACAGTTATATGGAAGTCGAAAGTTAAAACTGCGTGGTCACTTTTACCTAAGGGTGGCATATGTTGGAGGTTCGCAACATCATCCTCATAGTGAGTCAGTATAAGATCTAATAAGGATGATTCAGTGTCCGGATCGTACCTTGTCGCTTCTTTCACATGTTGTACTAGAGCACATGTGATAATCCCATCAACTAGTTCCTGCTCGAAAGAATTCTCCGACGATTTAATTCGCAGATTTTCCCAGTCTACCATAGGTGCGTTAAAGTCCCCTAGGATTAGACATCGACCACTTTGGGACCAAGTATTGAGACTGCTTAATAGGATCTCATTTGCCTCACAGCTTGGACTGCGATAGACCAAACCAATCAGCAGCTCTTGTCCCTTGCATTTTAGGCGAAGACTAACTAATTCACACGTCCCACTCTCATGAGATACACTGTCGACAATGGTAAATGGGATAGCATTCCTAATGAATAGAGCTACTCCCCCTCCTTTGCGCTTTTGTGTTCTGTCGGCCCTTACTGATGTAAAGCCCTCGAAATCAAGTTCTATACTATCTATAGCCTGTGTCAGCCAGGTTTCTGTTACTGCGATTATGTCTGGCTTTGTAGAGTCAATCTGTACACCTAGTTCCGATCGCTTATTAAGTAAGCTTCGTGCATTGGTGTAACAGATCCGAAGCCTGTTTAAGTGCCTTCGTGTTTCACCCAGAGTGGCTTCGGCATCATTCTCTGTCGAAGTCTTACAACCCGAAAATTTACAATTTTCAGGTCTTTTTCGCCAGCGTCTAACCTATGTTGTAGTTCTTTCTCGGCTTCCCGTCTTTTAACACGGTCTGCCAACGGTAGGTCCTTTCGAATAAAGACTCCTGAGCCCTTTAATTTGTGCCCATTTTGTAAAATTTGGTCACGTTTGTTCGAAGAGCCGAATACTACTTTAAGCAGTCTGGAATGATTTGGTTTCGAGTCCGTTAGACTCCCTAGTCTGTACACCTTTAGCAAGGTGACCCCGGTCATATTTTGAGGCATGAGTTGATTAAGCAGCTGCCTAATCAGTACAATGTCATGCTCAAAACGAGCTTTAGGTTCAGAGCTATCGCTCTTCTTGATTCTATGAAAAATAGCTGATCTGTCGCCATGATCAGCTTTCGATTTTTCAACCACTTTTACGGGAGCAGGTTTCCATTTTATATCCCTACTTCTCTTCCTCGCAACCTTTACTCATTCCTCAACGGTGCTGGTAGAAGCAATAACAGTTGCGTCAAACTTTGTCAATATTTTTTACACTCGTACATTGTCCGGTCCACCACAAGTGGACAGCCATGACGAACACCAATTGAGGTAATCAATTCTGATGACAGTTCGACATAAGCTCTCACTCGACCAGTTGTGTTCGAGTAGAGAGCCTTTATAAGGTTAATGTACTTCTCTGGTACCCCTTTCAGTGACAAACACTGCCATAGAACCTTACGATCAATAAAGTCAAATGCCACCTTAAGGTCGAGAAATACTACCATTGTGGGGCGTCTAAACGTGCGTCTGTATTCTAGAACCTGACGTAGTGTGAATATCTGGTCCATACAACCACGTCCAAGTCGAGAACCGGCCTGATTTTCTCTAGTCTGCTCTTTACGAGCTTTGGTTGGGTGTCGAAGTATTATTGAAGCTAATATTTTAGACACAATATTAGTCAAACTGATTCCTCTGTGATTGTCACAAGAAAACTTTTGTACTTTCTTATAGGCTGGCACAATCAGTGATTGATAACAGTCAGATGCGATTACGTCCATTTCCCAAATTCTACCTAAGACCTCAGTTAATCTCACTTCTAATACTGGACCACCATCTTTAAAAATCTCAGGAGTAAACCTGTCAGGGCCTGCTGCTCTCCCTCGCTTCAGATTTCCTATGGTTTTCACAACTTTGTAAAGAGGCGGAGGACCTACATTAACTTGCTATTCAGGTTGACTGGAGGTCGTGTGAAACCGAAATGTGATTGAAGTCCAGTTGAACTGATCCCTAAAGTGTTCTACCCATCGATCTAATCTCTTGGATTGAGAAAGTATAATGTATCCGTCTTTTTCTGAGAAAGTTTCGCTAACAGTTGAGTTCGTAGTACCGGTTTCCTTAAGAAGTATGAACAATCGATTGCTATTATCTATTGCCGCTGACCTTTCCATCTCTCTTGCTTTCAAAATATATATACTTACTTGTTTTTACATCGAAGGCATTCTTTATGTTTGGATTAAATTTCAATGTAAAATTAATGTAATTAACCTAGCTTGGGATCATTATTTGCGCTTGTTAACCCTCGTGAGGAGCTTAGGCCGCTCTACCAGAATTCTTCCTGGAACTATGTTCTGAAAAATCCTTTCCAGTTGCGATTGATTCTTTTGATGTTTGCTTCTGATCCTCCCTTTCATTGCAATTTAGGACATGCCTCGCGATTCAGTTTGATGATTTCCGCAATACATGTCTTATCCAGCGTCTTTTCCTAATTTCCTCTTCATTTAGAAGCTAGTTTGTTCTCTCGCACAGTTGACTGTTGCTGATGGTATCCGGAATACGGACATTCAATATTTTACGTAAACAATTGTTTATAAATACTTGTGCATTTTTGATGATGGTTGTTATATTTCTCGAGGTAGAACTGTCTTCACGTTGGTATTAATAAGCTAGAAAAACGTCATAGTATGATATGAAAATATGAGTAGAGGCTGTCAAAAGTAACTGTTTAATTTATTTAATTCAGTTGATGAAAATATAATAACTGTCAGTATTAATCAGTGCCATTAACAATAAAACGTTATTACACAATATTCGAGTGCATTGAACGAACACTTTTGTGGGGATAACCAATTTATCATTTAACGTCAAATATCACAATGCTTTCGCGAAATTAAGTCCTTTATTTGCAGGTCTCCTTTCAGTTGTCCTGTACATACTTCTTCATTCTTCATATTCGCCTGTCATTCCACTCCCTCACCGTTTCCTTTTCTGTTTTTCTGTTAGCAGGACATAGACTAGATTAAAGCATGCTCAATGCACGATTGCTTTGGCGCACTCTGATAGGCTAATTCTTATCCAACCAGCATTAGTCAACACTTAGTGAACACTCCAGATTCTTCTCATGTAAAAACTATGAATATACTAACGTTTTCCCTATTGTGCTGCTGACTTGCTTCTTACTTCCATCTAACTTAGTTATTCGGAATATAATCTCTTTCATGTTCAACTGTGTTCTGATTTGGGGACTTGTCGAGTGATTCGGTGTCCGAGAATACTAAGCAAACGGAATAGCTGGGTCATAACCGTAAGAAAGAGATTATAACATTTTCGTAATTCAATCTGAAACTTTTGCTAAAAGGCACTCTATCTCATTTCGGTATTACATACTACTTATATCTGTCAAAATAAGTAGCATACATCACGCGTTTATCCGTTTTTTAATGGTTGAATTAATCAAGTGTGATTTAAATGGATTGATGTAAACCTCAGAACACCATACAATCACATTTTATGCTGTTTGTACTTTTGTTCCTTTACACTATTGTAGATGGAATTTCATCAGCTTTCGCTTCGTCATCATTCTCATCTATTTTATCATTGTCATCGTTTAGATCTGTATTATCAAATAATAATAATTTAATATTAGCTACTGGATCAGCATGTCCATCAAATCCTGGAATTGTATGTAGTCATGATTATTTATTAGTGGATGATCTTATATCTAATGTTTATGACGGTACAGTTAACAATATGCCAATAATTCGTTTTTGTTTAATCAATAATTCCACATTGAAAACAATCGCCACAAAGACAAAAACAAAATAACCAGAAGTAGAAATGATCAATTCATCATTATCTTCTCCTTCTTCTTCGATCTCCTCTGGATGATTTTCATTGAATTCAATAGATGATAATAAATTATATGCACCAGATGAATCATATTTAGTTGGGCAAATTTATGGTCTAATCAGTAAAGTAGACGGTTTACAGTTTATATCAAATTGAAATTTATTAGATCCATATATTATTCATGGAAAAGGTATAGTGTTAGAATATATTGGTAAGCGTTAGTTTGTTTTTTGTTCATTACAGAGATTGTTTAAATGTTTATGTTATACACATGATGGACTGATTGTAGACCGATAATAATTGAAAATGAGGAAACATTAAATGGCTATTTCATTCATTGTAGCATTGAACTGTTCAGTATTTTACACTGATGAACCATTGAAAGAATTTCAGACTTGATGGCGAGACATAAATCCTTATACTAACCAGTTGGGACCTAATGGTTGATGTTTGTGAAGACAATCAGTCAGTCAACTTACAATAATACGAAATCATTATCTAGTGATATTGATTTGTAGTTGCCTCAGACCCGATATAACCGAACTACATTGATCATAGCCTGTTAGTAGAACTCTAGGCGTTACTTCTCGAAATTACTCATTACCGAGGCTTGCTGCGAGCTGACTAAAGTTAAAAACGTAAACCTGATGTGTAGCTGATAAAAATACTAATTGATTGTTTACCTGGTCAGACTGGTAGATGGTCTGAAATGTATTAGATGTGTCACATGTTTTCTATCACATTATTATTTCTTATTGTTCGTTATTGTCGTTGAAACATTCTCACGTTCTAGTGTGATCAGTCACGTGTTCGTGATCGAAATCGCATTGAAGTCCTGTAAAATAGATAGTGGCACGGTATCGTGTATAAATGTTCGTCTTATTCGTGTAAAGAAGAAATCCGAGTGTCATTTCAAAACGATCGTTCTTGACTCAGCGGTCTAAATCTTATAGAGAGGCTGTTAGGTGTTTTGCTTTTGAACTTGATCTATGTTAGGCTTGTGGATTTTCACTATTCAGAAGTCTTATACTAAGGACGAAACAGTTGTCTAGTGCCTACTGGTTTTCAATGATTGTTTTGTCACAGGAACTTCATGATGTCAACTACAATATATAACTGTTTATGTCATTGTGTTTTATGAATATGTCACAAATGTTTTACGAAGTATCGCATATCAGAGTGAAGTTTAATAAAGATCGAGTTTAAAACAACTCTGTTCGTCTTGATATCTTGTATTAATTTCCACAATGAGAATTTCTGAAATTTTCGCGTTGACATCCGTTTGATGATTATCAAAAATCCATGTACATTGAAACAAATGTATCCATTACCTTCAAGTCTCATCAATGAAAATGACACCATCTAACCATTGAATAATTTCAAATTTCGTCACCGATTGATGATGAATTGAAATGACGAAATCGTTAGGGATAATTAATTAAACTTCTATATGTAGTGCTGGTTGATTTACTGTTAGACAACAACAAGAAAATAACCGTAAATGTTGAATGCATTACAATGACTGAATATTGAAACTATTCTAGATCAACTCAAGTATAACACAGTCCTTTTATGAATATGAAATGAAAACCAACTTGAAGTTGTTTGAAGAATAAAAAACACATCACATTGAAACTTCAAAAATACTCAACGAAATCGTTGATTTTTATTGATCGGTTATTTCACTGGTTTATTTATTTATTTATTCAGTTAGTTGTTTGTTATGATAGTGATTATTGCATGCTACTTCACCTCGCTTCACTTCACTCACCTTAACTTACCTTTCTAACTGAATACATCAATTGAGAGAAGTGAAATTGATTTTCTATAGACTCTTTCTATTATCATAAAATGATGTATGAATGAATAGAAATTTCAATATATTATAGAATTTTTTTGTATCCTCAGAATTACTAGTAGTATGTATGTAATGAATCTTTATCAACTAAGGTGATTGGGATGTTTGTTACATCTACCCGATCACCACCTATCTTGACGGGGAATACTGTGTAGTTTAAGAGTAGATTTAAGTAAACTGAAAGTGGCTAAACCAAGATGTGGCACTAGTCCATGAAGTCAGTAACAAGTGGAGTGAGTCATTTAAGTTGCTTGAGATTATCACGTTGGAGTCGGCGTGATTCGCAACTTTTGATGACAAATCAGGACCACTCACAATGGTCCATCTGCATTCACTCCTTGTTTTGCTTTAGAACCTAACCTTTGTCACAAAATCTCTTTGTACCTTTTTTCTTTGTATGTACCTAATCTTTCCTACTACTGCAAATGTTATTACTACTCTGAGTAATCTGGGATTTGTCTCGATAATTTTATCTCTCTGTGCTAATAAGACATGACAACTTGAGCTGACGTACTTATGTATCAGATTCTACGTTGCACATGACTATAACTATGTAAGTGGAAGCTATAAGGCAGAATTTGATAGTAGAGATAGAGGAAAAATATTAAAAAGAGATGAAGTTATTTTAATACAGACAAGGTGTTTTTGAATGCTGCTAGAGTTATGTGAACAGTTGATATTTCCCAGTTACCTACATTGAGGAAAGATAGTTTTTTCTTGAGGTATCTGATGAGTCCTAAATAAAACGTAATGCACGTTCTGGATTCCACTGTTAACTACTATCCATTTTTGCTTATAATGCTTGTAGCTTAAGGTAATATTGGAGTTGGTCATATACTACTAAGAGACTGATCAATTCAAATCCTATACATGAATGAGAAGATTAAGACAACCTGTACAAGGATGAATTACCGTTATATATATATTTGACTACAATTCGATCAGGTTGATTGTTTGTCTATTCAATGTACTTTTTAATAATCATATATATATCACAGGTTGTAAGCAGCTGACGAGAACCAACGAAATAAAAATGAATTCATGCTATTCTGCTAGAATGTTTGTTCTTGCTCTTTTCAAAATGATAAAGGGAACTATGTGTATGAAATATATATATCTGTTTAACTCAATTGATTCTTCCTGCTAGATCATATTGTCTCTTGATTAGGATTTAGTTCATAAATGTTAATTATTCATTTGTAAATCTGTGTAGTTGTATGTCATATTATCTCAGATTGAATAGTTTTGATAGTTTTTAAGCCTTCACTTAGTTGATTGGTTTAATCTCAAATTGTTCTTTGTTGTTCTGAACAACTTGATCAGAGTCATACATAAGTTTGTGATAATCAAATCATACAGTAAATACTTCATTTGCAAAGTGTCAAATAATCGTTTCAGACTTAATTGTTCCTTCGTTTCTACACCAATCATTCTCTGTTTTCATTCTATTCGATCTTCTTAACCTTCTACCACCAGGTATTTCACTTTCGATTGATGATACATACTACTTATATCAGTCGACATCAGAACACACCACAAATATATTAAATATATAAGTCCTAAAATAATCGAGTCTTTTTGTTTTCTTCTTCTTCTTCAGAGAACAGACAAAGTATAAGGAAATATACGAATCTTAATGTTAGTGATTTGTAAGTTGATTAGTAATTAGATTGAATAAGTAAACATTAATAACAGATGTAAACACACACATATTGATAAGAGAAAGTAACTTGAAACTAATGTTGATAGTTCTTTATCAAGTATACACTTTTTTATATATAATTGTCTTTGAGTAACATTTTCATTGTATCAGAACTATCAGTGATACTACTGATTTACTACTGAAATCAAAGTCAATCGTGAATAGAACATGCATACCTGATTGATTGATGGATGGATGGATGGATGAACTGTGCAAGTATTAAAATAAACCATATTTTTTTTGAATTGAATATAAATATAAATCCTAACTGTATGTACTATTGCGGTGTTGTGTGAATAGCTTACACAATTTATCACGTTACTTCAATACTGAAAATGTTGCATCAAGCTACTCCAGTTGTTCGTATAATGTTCTCTTTATTATTATTAATCTTTTGATAAGTAAAAAAGGAACAAAGACAAGTATATTGGAATTCATGTATTGAGAATCTGATGAGAAAAAGTGGTTGCAGCATCTGAACTGTTAGAAAATTTTCATCATTAAAGATGAATCGACAGGTCCAGGCTACTAAAGTTTATCGTAATATTACACAACTGATGCTGAGAATTTGTTACCGATGCACAATTTATAGTAGTGAATATTGTTATTATGATCATAGAAGTCAGAATAGTTTAACGATCTGTCTGCAGTGCATCACTGAAAGTAGCAGTCTTAACAAAAGAACTATTTGATACTGAAAGATAATCACCAATTATTTTTCTCAATAGTTGAAATCATGAGTCAATTGAAACTAGAACACCATGGAAAACGTGAAAGCATTAGACGGCCGTTTCATTATTATTGTTTTAATTAGTGAGAGAGAATTTCTGAAGTTCTTGTGATAAGCTGTAATTGGTGGAGTTGGACTGTGTTGAGTGTGATGCAGTTATCCACCAATGATGATAGAAGATGATCGCCTAATGCCCTGGATCGATTGAAATTAAACATCAACACCTTTAGATACTGAATCAGTGGTGCAGAGGTTTAACGTCCTCGAGAGGCCAACGGCACTGAGTTCAAGTCACACATGCGGGATTGTAGATGCGCACTTCTACCGGGTATCGTACCTAGGACCTTAAGAGCATACGACATATCAAATTTCAACTAATTCACGATAGTGTTTTCTACTTTGGCCTGAAATTCTGTTTGCTCTCCACTTTTCAACTATACTACTAATAATAATAACCCCATTGATATATTTCTTTTTTTTTTAAGTAAAATAACTTACCATGATAGGATGATAAGTTCGTATTGGTAAATCACTTTCAATGTGTCTGTAGGTATCTCGATGTTGGTTTGTACATGTGTGTTTGTGTGTGTGAGAATGTGCATGTAACGATAATATTCATAAAAGCTGACAACAGTTTCTCTAAGAGATTCTGTGAGGTAATAATAATGATAATAATGACAGCGATA